AAAGTTTTTCTTTTCTCTCATTCTGTTTTTTCCTCTTTATGGAGTTTTGTTGTATTAGGAAACCTCGCATCACAGCCTTACTTGCGTCCCAAATTGTTCTTTTTTCCACATCAGTTCTCAAATTTATCTCAAAATAATCTTTCACTGCTTTTTGGGCCTTTCTGTAAACCTCTTCATCTCTAAATAGGGCGTCATTCATCCTCCATCTAAAGGTTCCAGTTGTTGTTAGTTTCATCTCTATCTTCACTGCATTGTGGTCGGAGCAAGTCTTTGGGCAAATTTCTGCTTTTTTTATCTTCGGTGCCATACAGCTGGATACCCAAATTTGGTCAATCCTTGTCCAGGTCATTTTTGCTTCAGAGAAGAAAGTTCCCTCCCTCTCTAGAGGGTTCCTTACTCTCCAAATATCAATCAAGTCCAGTGTTTCAGTCATTTCAAAAAAGGTCTTTGGAAGTCTTCCATCGTTGGAGATTGTCTGTCTCTGTGCCTTATCCATATTAGTGGAGACAACACCATTCATGTCTCCCATCATTATAATTTTAAAGTCCAAATAGTCCATTAAAGTCTCATGCAACTTCCTAAAAAATTCCGCCTTCCCCTCATTTGGTGCATATATTCCGAGAATCATAATTCTTTCTCCTTGAACTTGTATTTCTATCGCCAGGTATCTTCCTTGTTCATCTTTGAAAATCATTTTAGGGGCCAATCTTTCCTTTGCATAAATCACAACACCTCTTTTTTTAACTTTATCTGATGAGATAAATTCTTGTCCAAGCCTCTTATTTGTAAGTAATTTCCTATGTGTCCTAATCACATGCGTTTCTTGCAAACAAATTAAGTCCAATTGTTCTCTTTTCAAAATATGAAAGACTTGGCGTCTCTTCCTGGGGAGATTGAGTCCATTACAATTCCAGCTAAGAAGTTGCAGAGACATTTTGATGCTATGTACCTACTCCTCCAACTGCTCCAAGTTTTTGTTCCTCCTCCGATGGTAGTAGAAGTCCAAATGAGAGATTTGCTATATCAGTCGGCTCTTTTTCTGCTGTTAGGTCTACTGTTCCTTTCTGCAGGTCCTCCAAGTTTCTTTCCAAAAACAGTTCTTTGTCTTGAACTGTTTTTATTTTTATCTTCCTTCCTGTATAGTTAAAAGACAGTCCTTGTGGGAACTCCCACCTGAAAGGTATGCTGTTCTTCTTCAGAAGGTAGACGAGATCTTTGTAAAAGGCCCTCACCTCCAGTATATATTTAGGGATATCTTTAAAGATCTGGACTTGGCAGTTCTGGATTACAAGAGACCTTTGGTAGTGTAGATTTAGTATTTTATCTCTTTCTTCTTTGGATCTCAGTGTGATCAAACAATCCCTAGGCTTCTTTCCTTGCCTTCTGCCCAACCGGAAGGCCGTTGTTATTTCAAAATCTTCCTCCTGAAATTCGTCCTGCCAAAATTCAAAGATGTTTTCTGTGAGGAAATCTATAAGACTGTCTTTCTCCTCCTCTGGCACTGATCGTAATTTAAGGTTCTTCTCCTTTCTCTGAAGTTCCCACAAAGACAAAGTTGCTTCGTGTTCATTCACCTTTTTTGTAATTGGTGCAAGCTCCCTCTTAGTTTCTTCAGCTGTATCTTTTGCGCTTTGAGCAATCTTTCTTGTTTCAGAATTTTCTTGGATAAGTTTATTTATAGAGTCTGTGTTAGAGGCTACACTTGCTGTGTTCAGATCTAGTCTGGTTGTCAAGTCATTCAGTTTTTTGTGTTCTCCGCCGACTGCTTTGTCAGTGCTTCCAAAGACTGGTTTATTTTAAGCAAAGCCTGTGTCATTGACTCCATAGATGCAGTTGGTGCTTTTTCCTGTCCAGCTGGTATTATGCCTTGCATCGACCCTCTTTTCTTTTGAGTTTGTTGAGTTTGTTTTGCTTTGGATCTAGTTGTTATCTCATCTGGTTGGCCACTCATGTCCTCAAGGTCAATTCTCACAGGAAAGGCTTAGAGGTGGAAATTTCCACTCTTTCCCTTCTACAGTAGCAAGTTTTCTTTAAGTCCTCTAGAGGGAGCATTTAATTGTATCCAGTTTAAAAAGCCAAAAGCACTTGAGATAGAAAACAAAGAAACAAAGAGTCCAAACAGCAAAGTCCCAAAGTCCACAGTCAAAGCACTCTTTACAGTTTCAACTTAGCTGTTCACAAAATAGCTGCATTAAAGTCCTGTAACTTTGTCCCAGTCAAGATCTTAACTTTGTATCCAATTTGAATTGACAGCTCAGCTGCCCGGTGTTTGCTCCGGCAGCCCGACTCAGGGATTTGACAGTGGAGGCTCTCTTTCTCCCGTTCTTTCAGGCAGGTTTTAAATCTTCCAATTTTCCTCCCCCCCCTTCTCCTGCTAGCTAGGGGGGAAATTTCTATCCGATGTCCGGTTTAGACAGCTTAAAGGTTAATCTTCCTTTGAATGCAGCCTGTCTTTTCGTTGCTTTATTTACATGCAGTCCGGGGAGGCAGACTTCCTTACTTTATGCCTTTCCCGTTTTCAGCCAAATTTAGAAATCCACTTTTAAAAGTCCCGTTTCATTTGTCAATCTTACTCACGGGTTTGTAGTCCCAATTCAGTTTTCAGGAAGGAATCGGCGCTCTCTGTTCAATGGCGACGCGGCTTCACTCTGCAGGCTGGGTGACGACTCTCAGCACCGCGCTCACACCCGATGCCGCTCCGTAGCCTTTAAAAAGGCTCTTTCGCAGTACCGGGGGGCGCCAAAGGTGCCCACCGAGTCTCCTTGCTTACAGGCTTCAGCGCCTGCAATTTTAGGGGTCCCCCGCTCGCCGTAGCGGGTCAGACCCGAACTTGCGGAGCAGTCTTCCCTCGGAGCTCGAGGCAAAGACCGCCATTAGACACTGGCGCCGACCGGAAGTTCCCACTGAACGTCACTTTCAATCCCTTATTTGCATATGTGGACCTGAGTGAAAACTATCTACAGTATCCCCCTCCTGGCCCAGGGTGAAAACTTCAGTACATAACACCAGGGAACTCTGGGAATTGTATCTCTGTGTGGAACTGGGGTGGTGGTGGTTCCCAAACAACTCTCGGCATCTTTAGCAAACTACCATTCCCAGAGTTCTTTGGGGCAAGCCATGACAGTTTAAAGCGGCGTGACATTGCTTTACATGTACGGTGCAGATGGAATCTGTTGTAAACAAAAATTGCCCTTTTCCCTTATGGGGTATCCAAGAGCCCATATGGAGTCCTTACATAGGTTCCCTATTGGTAGGAGAAGACAACAGAGGCCAACCAGAGAATATTGAGAAGCAAAGCAGCTAGTAAGCTTGATCTTTATTGATCTGTTGCAACAGGGTGCTCCCCTCACCCGCAGGAGAGGAGGAGGAAAATTCCTATCACAAAACCACATACAGTGGAACCTCGGTTTTCGAACGTAATCTGTTCCAGAAGACCGTTTGACTTCCGAAATGTTCGAAAATTGAAGGGCTGTCGCCAATTTCAGTGGGGGGAAAAGAGGAATGCGCTTCGGAAGCCGTTTGAGTTCTGAAAAACATTCAAAAACCGGAATACTTCTGGGTTTTTGCATTCGGGAGCCGAAACACTCAGCAACGGAGCCGTTCAAGAACCGAGGTTTGACTGAAATGGAAGAAGGAAGTCTAAAATGGACCAGCCCCTACTGCCTCCAGGGAAGGAAAGCTCAACACTGCCTTACAAGGCGCTGAACAGTTCATATGATTGAGACATTAATTTCTCCTCTGGCTACAGTGATGTAGCTCCTGCCAAAGTTCAGCCCTCCTGCCCCATCCAAAGTACCCCCAAATGACTCCTCTGAGAGTGCTAGGTGATGGGGCTTGGGCATGGGTAGGCAAACTAAGGCCCGGGGGCCAGATTTGGCCCAATTGCCTTCTAAATCCGGCCAGCGGATGGTCCGGGAATCAGCGTGTTTTTACATGAGTAGAATGTGTCCTTTTATTTGAAATGCATCTCTGGGTTATTTGTGGGACATAGGAATTCGTTCACCCCCCCATATAGTCTGCCCCCCCAAGGTCTGAGGGACAGTGGACCGGCCACCTGCTGAAAAAGTTTGCTGACCCCTGGGCTTGGGAATCAGCAAACAGGCCTGGGGTCTGCATTCCTTTTTATTTTCTTTTAAAATATATTTCTTAGTTTGGGCAGCTGGCAGCTGGCTGGCAGCTGGCTGGTTACGAAACAAACAAGCAAAACCAGTTTGCCACCCAGATTTCGCATCATTATTAAAGATTTTCTTTTGTTTACAAAAGTATGTGTGTCGTCTCTTTCTTCAGGTTGTGTTTTCTACGTATCAGTTACATTTGTTGTGAGACGTTGGGTGTTCTATGCAGGAGGGGAAAAAAGAAACCAAATGGGCATTGTGCAGTTTTGCATTTTGGAAAAAAAAAGGGGGGCGGGACTTGCTTAAATCATTCTGCCACCATGACTAGATGACCCCAGAGTTCAATGGGAGTTTGTTTATGCTGCCCTGATGCTGAATGTATTTACAGTGGTAACTAGGGTTAAGAACTTAATTCGTTCTGGAGGTCCGTTCTTAACCCGAAACTGTTCCTAACCTGAGGTACCACTTTAGCTAATGGGGCCTCCCGCTGCCGCTGCGCTATTTCCGTTCTCATTCTGAAGCAAAATTCTTAACCCAAAGTACTATTTTTGGGTTAGCAGAGTCTGTAACCTGAAGCATCTGTAACCTGAGGTACCACTGTACTTTGGAATAAGCACCATGTTGTCATAGAAAGGAATATTGGTTGGGTACATGTTCAGAATAGGCCCGTTAATATTAACAGACCTGAATTAGTCACGTCTGTTATCAAAATTGTAGCGTTGCAGGGTAGTCCAACCCCATGCCATGCAGGGGGGTCTCCTCTAGAATTAGATGCAGCTCAAAAGTATTTTTTCATTATCCATTTCTGCAACAACATGGGGCTTATTCCCCCCCCCATCCCACACCCCCTTCCACAACCTCAAGTCCTACACAGATGGCACTCACTCTTAAATATTGCTAATTTGTCAGGTAGGTCTTCGTCAGTGCTGTATTTGGGGTCATCCATAAATTCCTGTAGAAAGGCAGGGGGAAAATATTGATTAGGGTAGGAACACATCCAGTAAAGTCCAGTAAAAAGGACGCCTGGATGGTTAAGTCCAGTCAAAGGCGGCTATGGGGTTGTGGCACTCATCTTGCTTTTCTGGCTGAGGGAGCCGGTGTTTGTCCACAGACAGCTTTCTGGGTCATGTGGCCAGCAGGACTAAGCCGCTTCTGGCACAATGGAACACTGACAGAAACCAGAAACTCCATTTACCTTCCCGCCACAGTGGTACCTATTTATCTACTTGCACTGGTGTGCTTTCGAACTGCTAGGTTGGCAGGAGCTGGGACAGAGCAACAGGAGCTCACTCCATTGTGGGGAATCAAACTGCGACCTTCCGATCGACAAGCCCAAGAGGCGCAGTAGTTTAGACCACAGCGCCACTCGCTCCCAGTGCCACCTAGTGACTGAAGTAGGTAATGTCACGAGGCACACCAGCTGCCAGGGAAAAAGGGAGTCGCCCCCTCAAAAGAGCAGGAAACATCAAGCCAGCTGAAGGGTGGGGGATGAAGCTTAGAGAGTCGCTACCAGTCAGTGCAGACCACCCTTTGTCAACCCCGGGTCCCCAGATGTTGTTGGCAATGTTAGAAATTCCCCAGGCGTGTTTTTGCAACCGACTTGGGTCCAGTTTGCGACCGTGCGGAAATTTCTGGATGCCAGATTTGCAACTGACACCTCCACCTGGAAGACTGACTTATTTAAGACTTTACCACAGTGTAAGAGCTCCGCTTCCTTCTGGATTTAGTTTTGCACACCAGGCATGCATGCTGTGAAGCTAATCCGTCCATCAGCCCCGCTCCTCCCCTCATGTTTCAGATGCCTGCTTATTTCAGATAATTTAACAGGAAACCTGCCTTCTGTCAAGTCTTCTGTTTGTCCATCTGGCTTAGCATTCTTGCACTGACTGGCAGCAGTGGCTGTCTAGGGCATCAGATGGGGATCTTTCTCAGTCTCACCTGATACACCAGGGCTGGAACCACACACCTTCCCCATGCAAAGCATGTATTCTGCCACTCAGCTTTCCCTTCCCCTCAACTTTAACGACTCCCTGTATGCCTTGCTTGCTCATTCATCCTTTTAACTTATTTGAGAGGATGGGGAACCAAAAACCTTTTTTTAAAGCAGCTGTAAAACTGCTCTGGCTACTGGACTCTCTGCGGGTCCACATGCAAATTACGGTGACGTCACATGTGCTAGCCAGTCAGTGCTATCCACAGTTGCCTTCTTCTACAAAGCTGTGGAACCATTTGTCAAAGAGCTTGACTCTGGGGTGGGGAATCTCAGGCCTGGACCCTGAATGCAACCTTCCAAGCCTCTTCATCTGGGCTCCAGTATTCTCCCCACACCACACCCCCTCTCCTAGTCCAAGCCCCTTTGCTGTCTCTGCCTTGCACCCTCATTGTGGGGTTTTTGTGTGTGGTTTGGCTGGAATGCATCCTTGGAATCTGATAATGTCTTGTCTGTTTGCCTGGATGGGAGAAATTGTATAAAGGTAACAATGACATTGGTTGCTCCACCATAGCTGTCAACTTACAGATTTGAAAATAAGGGACCAGCAGCCTCAAAAATAAGGGATCAGCAGCCAAAATAAGGGATTTTCCAAGCACAGGTATGTTCAACTTCTGAGCGCCTCCGAGCCAAAGGCAGAAAGCCCAGCCAGCAGCCAGACAAAGCCTCAAGCCTCAAGGAAAACCACCATCACCTCTCCGCTGGGAAGCGCTGAGCAAAGGCGTGTCCCCAGGCAATGCAGCCGATTTGATCAGCACAAGGCATACAAGCTCCACCCCCCAGTCGTTCTTAGACTTCTTTATTGGGTGAGCAACGCAGCCAAGCAACACAGCTGGAGCCTCCCTCCTCCCTGGCCGGCAGGGAGGGAGGGAGAGGAGCTGCTTCCTTTGAAACCCGGGAAATTTAAGGGACATCATCAATAAAGGACAGCAGCTGGACACAGCGCTGGGGTAAGGGACTGTCCCGCCAAATAAGGGACACTTGACAGCTATGTGCTCCACCCACCTTTGCCTCTGGCCCTACCCACCACATGCATCTGGCCCTGCAGAAGTTTGTTCAGAAGGGAATGTGGCCCCTGGCCTTAAACACCCCCACCCCTGCTGGAGAAGATAAGGCACGTGAAGGGCTGTTTGCAGCGGAACAGCTTCCAGACTGGCTCGAGCCTCCTCACCCGCAGTGCTAAGCAACCGCCTTACCTTGTTAAGGGAGTCCAGGAATTCCTCCTGCTGGGCTTTTAACACTGCAAACGCTTTTCCTCCTAGGAGGCAGAGAAGAGGGTTAATGGTTGCCATTAATGTCCTGGTTTTCAGGTGTAAAAATGGTGTTCGTGTGATTTTGTTGAATCAGCAAAATGTCGGGGAAAACCCGGATGTATGGCAATGCAATGGAAAAAAAGCAGCGGAAAAGCTAAAATCACTATTTTGGGGGGAGTCCCCCCAAAAAAGCTCAATAATTTTGGTGGTTTCCTTAAGAATGTTGGTGCTGACCTTTAAAACCCTAAACGGCCTCTGTCCATTATACCTGAAGGAGCGTCTCCACCCCCATCGTTCTCCTCGGACACTGAGGTCCAGCACCGAGGGCCTTCTGGCGGTTCCCTCCCTGCGATAAGTGAGGTTGCAGGGAACCAGGCAGAGGGCCTTCTTGGTAGTGGCACCCCACCCTGTGAAACACCCTCCCACCAGATGTCAACGTGAAAAAACAATTACCAGACTTTTAGAAGACATCTGAAGGCAGCCCTGTTTAGGGAAGCTTTTAATGTTGAATAGGTTATTGTATTTTAATATTCTGTTGGAAGCCGCCCAGAGTGGCTGGGGAAACCCAGCCAGATGGGCGGGGTATAAATAATAAATTATTATTATTAAGAAAGCTCAACCATTTTGTGGTCTTCCTAAAAAAACGTCAGCAACTCTGCCAGTGTCAGGAATTTTAAGTAAGAGTTATTCGGGAGTGGAACAGACTCCCACAGGAGGTGGTGGACTCTCCTTCCTTGGAAGTTTTTAAGCAGAGGTTGGAGGCCCATCTGTCATGGATGCTTTAGCTGAGATTCCTGTATTGTAGGGGGATGGTCTAGATGACCCCTGGGTCCCTTCCAACTCTTAAGATTCTATGATCTCCCTGACTTTGCCCTAATATTTTTTTTTATCAAATGTCCATCTCACCCTTCCTCCCAAAGGGGTCCAGGGCGGCGAACACTTTTGTGGTAAGAAATAAAATATAATTAACTATAGAAACATACAGTGGTACCTCGGGTTAAGTACTTAATTCGTTCTGGAGGTTCTTAACCTGAAGCACCACTTTAGCTAATAGGGCCTCCCGCTGCCGCTGCACTGCCGGAGCACAATTTCTGTTCTCATCCTGAAGCAAAGTTCTTAACCCGAGGTACTATTTCTGGGTTAGCGGAGCCTGTAACCTGAAGCGTATGTAACCCGAGGTACCACTGTATTGGGGTTGGTTGGGGGTGGCAGTGTAGAGCATATCGGTAGGTCCCTTCCAGGCTTGCGATTCTGTATCCAGTGAGGTTTGGAATCATTATTATTATTACTATTATTATTATTATTATTATTACTACTATTACTATTTTTATTATTATTACTAGAAAAAGCTGCTGAACCAGTCAGAAGAGTCTCTGTAAGGCAATGGCCTCACTGCCATTTCCATGTCTAAAGATGTTGCTCTGTTGCCATAGAGACAAATGGGGGTGTGTCTTTTCCTATCTCCCCTTGACCAGATGCTACATTATCCTAGGATGGAGGACAATAGACTGGAAGAGACACTGTGTGTGTGACTATTGGCTGATGCTGGAAGCTGGAGTCAGAGAGGCTTGTCTTGCTCTGCGCTGGACCCAAAGGCTTGGTGGTGGTGGGTCTCTCTGGGAAGAAGAAGAAGAGTTTGGATTTGATATCCCGCCTTTGACTCCCTTTAAGGAGTCTCAAAGCGGCTAACATTCTCCTTTCCCTCCCTCCCCCACAACAAACACTCTGTGAGGTGAGTTGGGCTGAGAGACTTCAGAGAAGTGTGACTGGCCCAAGGTCACCCAGAAGCTGCATGTGGAGGATCGGGGAATCGAACCCGGTTCCCCAGATTACGAGACTACCGCTCTTAACCATTACACCACACTGGAACCTAATGGGGAAGCAGGAACTGTCTTGCCATGAGCCTTTCCATCCTATGCTGAGGTTGTAAATGAAACCATAGACCTGGAAGACACTGCGCTCTCCGTTGACCTTCATTCCAAGGAAATTGAACACTGGGTAAGCACAGCCACCCTTGGAGTCTCTCACCGCTTGGAGATTGCGGTGCATGCCACAATATTTAAAACATGTGAAAACTGTTAGGTAAAGGTAAAGGAACCCCTGTCCATTAGGTCCAGTTGTGACCGACTCTGGGGTTGCGCACTCATCTCGCTTTACTGGCCGAGGGAGCCGGCATACAGCTTCCGGTTCATGTGGCCAGCATAACTAAGCCGCTTCTGGCGAACCAGAGCAGCGCACGGAAACACCATTTACCTTCTCGCCAGAGCGGTACCTATTTATCTACTTGCACTTTGACGTGCTTTCGAACTGCTAGGTTGGCAGGAGCAGGGACTGAGCAACGGGAGCTCACCCTGTCATGGGGATTCGAACCGCCGACCTTCTGATCGGCAAGTCCTAGGCTCTGTGGTTTAACCCACAGAGCCACCTGCGTCCCGTGAAAACTGTTAAGTAGATCTAAAAGCAATAAAGCTTCTGAAGCAAATTTAAGAGCAGATGGAACAAAATCAGGTATCTAGATACATCTTCTGAAACAGAAAAGTTTCCAGTGGACATCTCGAAGAGAACAGTGATGGCGCTGGCCTAATCTCGCTATGGCCGTTGAATGTCTCTGGAGTCTCCCAGTTTCTGCCATTTCCTCTTTCCGACACAATTTCCTGACTTGCATGTGTGCTGGTGGTTATGTGTTTCAATTTCTGTAGACTGCTTTGCTTTTGGTTCGCAGTGTCGTTTGGCTAACCAAAGAGGAACCTAGCCCAAATTTCCTGACTCGGTTTTTTTGTTCCCTGCCTTCCTCCAGTTGCAAAGGGGAAATGGAAGAGGTAAACAGCAGCAGCAGCAGCAGCAGCTACCAAATTGAGGCATCACAGCTGTGGTGGGGAAAGTGAGGGGGGGGGCATTTACAAAGCTGGGGGATGGGAGCACCGGTTTAGGGTACACTCTAAGGTAGGGGTAGACCATGTGAGGACTCCAAATCCCATCCCCCCCAATCACCGGCCATGCTGAAAAAAATGCTTCGGGATGGGAGAGAGAGAAAGGAGAGAAATTACACTTAATGGAACTTCCCTCCCACAGTTTTTTCTTTAGTCACACCTACTCTGTGAAGCTTTAATGGTGCCACTGTATTCAGAAGCTTTAATAGTGCCACTGTATTCTGCTCTGGTCAGACCTCACCTGGAGTACTGTGTCCAGTTCTGGGCACCACAGTTCAAGAAGGACACTGACAAACTGGGACGTGTCCAGAGGAGGGCAACCAAAATGGTCAAAGGACTGGAAACGATGCCTTATGAGGAACGGCTAAGGGAGCTGGGCATGTTTAGCCTGAAGAAGAGGAGGTTAAGGGGTGATATGATAGCCATGTTCAAATATATAAAAGGATGTCATATAGAGGAGGGAGAAAGGTTGTTTTCTGCTGCTCCAGAGAAGCGGACACGGAGCAATGCATCCAAACTACAAGAAAGAAGATTCCACCTAAACATTAGGAAGAACTTCCTGACAGTAAGAGCTGTTTGACAGTGGAATTTGCTGCCAAGGAGTGTGGTGGAGTCTCCTTCTTTGGAGGTCTTTAAGCAGAGGCTTGACAACCATATGTCAGGAGTGCTCTGATGGTGTTTCCTGCTTGGCAGGGGGTTGGACTCGATGGCCCTTGTGGTCTATTCCAACTCTATGATTCTATGATTCTATACTCCAGACATTTAAAGCATACAGTGGTACCTCGAGTTAAGTACTTAATTCGCTCCGGAGGTCCATATTTACTAACCTGAAGCTGTTCTTAATCTGAAGCACCACTTTAGCTAATGGGGCCTCCTGCTGCTTCCACGCCACTGGAGCACGATTTCTGTTCTCATCCTGAAGCAAAGTTCTTAACCTGAAGCACTATTTCTGGGTTAGCGGAGTCTGTAACCTGAAGCGTATGTAACCCGAGGTACGACTGTAGGTTTTTATGCAGAGGTTGTCATGGGTGATGCAGCAGAGATGAGAAGGTGTTTGGATTTGATACCCCGCTTTATTCACTACCCTAAGGAGTCTTAAAGCGGCTAACAACCTCCTTTCCCTTCCTCCCCCACAACAAACACTCTGTGAGGTGAGTGAGGCTGTGAGACTTCAGAGAAGTGTGACTAGCTCAAGGCAGCTGCATGTGGAGGAGCAGGGAATCGAACCCGGTTCACCAGATTACGAGTCCACCGCTCTTAACCACTACACCACACTGGCTCCCTCACAACCCACTTCCTTCCGATTAGAAAAGGGAAGCTGTGGACGAGCAGAGGTGTGTGCAGTTCGGGCAGCCCTTGCGCATGCACAGATGACAACACATGCACAAGTGACAGCTTCAGTGCGTTGGAGTTCCGAGTATGGAAACATGAGGCAATGGGGACCGGGGGGAAACTTCCCCTCTGCACAGCAACGTAAGTATCGGGGAGGGGGAGAATTCAGATCAGGAAAATGGCATGTTGGCAAGGTTTAAGCCAACCCCCACCCCCAGTTGCTAGGACCAGATTTAGGTTCCCACCTCAACTGCATTTGCCCTTGAAAAATTAAATACTGGAGATTTGATTGTGACCATCTTGTCTAGTGCCAAGGAAAAAGAAAGTGTGAACAACTCTTAAAAATACTCCTTGACTGTCTTTCAGGGAGTGAATCCAGATTAAAACCAGTGGAAGATTTAAGGAGCCTATTCACAAACCTGTTACAGTATCATCAATTACATGATATGTTTAAACTAGATAAGAAAAATGGGTTTCCGGACCAAATCTGAAAGAGATTTATTACAGAATAAGGATAAACTATATTGTCTGATATGTATAAATTGTAAAGACAGGACGAGCTGGTAAAAGCTTCAATGATACACTGGGCAATGGACATAGGGCATAATATAGCGCTAAACCTTTGGAAGAATGATTTGAAATTTACTGCATGCTACTGCATGCTGGAAGAAAATTACATGAAAATGATTCATAGATGGTATTTAACCCTGAGCAGACTGGCTAAGAAATATAAAATAGAATCAGATTTGTGTTGGAAATGTAAAGAAATGGAGGTGACTTTTTTTCCATATGTGGTGGGCGGGTAAAAAGGTTAAAGGAAATGATTTATAATGAGATAAAAAAAATGTTTCAAACAACTTTCCCCAAAAGACCAGAGGCATTTTTGCTTGGAATCGTTCAGACAGAGGCTCCCAGGTCCCAGAAAAACCTATTTTTGTGTGCAACAGCGGCGGCCCAAGTTTTGTTAACCCAAAAGATATTTATATTCCTCCATGGATGTACCCAGTTCTCTCTCACGTCTCCCAGTTTTATTTTCACCACAGCTCTGTGAGGACGCAGGTGGTATTAGTCTGTCTCCCGTAGTTTCCCAGCGTGATAGGGTAGGCCGGACTTTGCCAACCTGGTGCCCTCATGATGTTTTGGACCACAACTCACCTCAGCCAGCTTAGCCAATGGTCAGGGGACGATAGGAGTCGTAGTACAAAGTCTGGAGGGCACCAGGTTGACGAAGGCTGTGTGCACACCATGCGCCTAAAGCACATTCCCACCCCCTCCAAAGGATCCTGGGAACTGTAGCTCCGTGAAGGGTCAACTATAGTTCCCAGGATTCTTTGGGGGTTGGGGTTGGGAAAGTGCTTTAAAGGTATGATGCAGCTGCAGGTTGGGCAACCCAGCTGCAATCTCCTTCGCAGGCTGCTGCCCCGCTCCTTCTCCCTGACGTATTTCCAGATTCCCTCTTGCCCTGCCTTGGACGGCTCTGCTGGTTATATGCTCCTCTCTGCTTTATGGTCGCTAACATTTCCTGCATCCAAACCTCTCTCTTTCCATAATAGTCTTCACCTTTGGATACACCACAAGCCTCCCATCTTCCTGCACCCCAGACAGTTACGATCTCTTTCCCAGTGCCCTTTCCGGACTAAGACGGTTTCCTCAGCAGCCGATACCTTGGGGGTCCATGGCTCAACTCTTTGCCTTTTCTTCGGAGGGTTCCCCTCGACGACTTCTCTGCTGAACTGATGTCTCGCCTCCTCAGCTGCTCCTTCTCTGTGTGCCTATAGATATTTCAGTCTGTAATATATATGGGGAGGCGACTTCCTTTTTTGCTCTGAGAAACCACACAGCTCATTGACACTCGCACAGACCATGTGGAGAAGGAGAGAGGAAAGGTTTTCTGAGAGGGCTTGCGCTGCAAAGTGGGAGGCCTGAGAGAGAGAGAGAGGAAGTTGCAGGCTGCCCTTCAGCAAAAGGAAGTTGGGGGCTGAAACACAGTCCGGGTGGGGGTTGGTCCTCGGGCGCCGCGTTGTCGACCTTTGCTGCCGTAGGTCTTCGGCTGCTTGCCGTTTTGAGTTGCACGCCTGACAGTTCGCACCTTTTGTGTCTCGCTGGTGCGGCTAGAGGTTGTCAGCGTGGTTCCCATGGGTGCAGTGGCACCCTCTGCCCCCCCCATCCGCTTCCTTGGCCACAAACCGGGGCCGCCTTTTCCTCCCTTGACAAGGACACGCAGCTGGCAGATTAAGTTGGAAGAGCGATGCCCTTTCCCACGCCTTCTTTCAGCTCTGTGTGCTTTTTGTGTGTGGCTCAGGTTAGTTGTAAACAAAAATTTGCCCTTTTCCCTTATGGGGTATCCAGGAGCCCATACAGAGTCCTTACGTAGGTTCCCTATTGGTAGGAGAAAATAACAGAGGCCAACCAGAGAATATTGAGAAGCAAAGCAGCTAGTAAGCCTGATCTTTATTGATCTGTTGCAACAGGGTCCTCAACTCGCCACACAAAGGAGGGAGGAATAACCCAGAACAATGGCGCGCAAGGCCTTATAAAGACTTTTGAAACTGCCACCCTGTAGATCAAGACCACCCCCAGAAACATCATACATACATCACAGAAAGGGTGTAACCTAAGACCACCCCCCAGATACATCACACCTACATCACAGAAAAGGCGGTCTAAAACAGAAATTTGAATGTTGTTTTTCTCCTGTCGTTGTTTATCTCCTGTCTGGCAGGTTACTTGATTGGATTGCCTGGGGAGCCTGGCCAGTCTTTTGTGATGATAAATACTTAGTTCCTGGGCCAGGTCACAGGCTCACACCCTATTCATATCTTAAATGTGCCCTTAAGACAGGATTTGTGTGGAAAGAGACAATGGGGAGGTTTCCCACTTTGACCTTGCAGAGAAAACATTTGCTCAGTTTAGGAATCAAAATGGTTCCAGGTTGGTCTTCCTGTGCTGATCTATGTACGTGCTTGGTTGATACACTTATGAACATTACCATAGATCTAAGACCTCAAAATTCCTATCATACGGGCCTGACTTTCCCCCAGATCCCTCGGGAAAGGCGAGGTGTGCACAGGGAATCTCTTCACCGTTCTGTCTCTCGGGAAGGGGGCTGATGTGTTGGACAGGGAGGGAAGTGGCCAGAGAGAGTGGTTAAAGCAGAGAGCCTAGGGCTTGCCGATCATAAGGTCGGCGGTTCGAATCCCCATGATGGGGTGAGCTCCTGTTGCTCGGTCCCTGCTCCTGCCAACCTAGCAGTTCGAAAGCACGTCAAAAGTGCAAGTAGATAAATAGGTACTGCTCTGGCGGGAAGGTAAACGGTGTTTCCATGCGCTGCTCTGGTTCGCAGAAGCGGCTTAGTCATGCTGGCCACATGACCTGGAAGTTGTACGCTGGCTCCCTCGGCCAATAAAGCGAGATGAGCGCCGCAACCCCAGAGTTGTCTGCGACTGGACCTAATGGTCAGGGGCCCCTTTACCTTTCTAATGAGACATTATTGTGAAATGTTTTTAATTATTTGATTTTACTTTGGTTGCAAATTGCACTGGCTCTACCTCCCTTTTAGTGGGAAGCAATATTTAAAATTTAATAAACGTAGTGTAGTCAACACCATCAACTCCAGTCAACATGAAAAGTAACTTTAAAAAAGATTATGAATCTTTGAGGCTGCAGTCACTGGAGGCTTTCCTGAACGGTTGAGAAGCACCAGTGTGTGCTGTTCACCAGACCTCTGCATCCTCTCAAGCGTAGCTCACCAGCCCTGTGTTTGGGGCCTACCAAGTGATTTGAAGAGAGGGGAAGAAACAGGGAGAAATTCAAATTGCCTAATTAGCAGTCCCCGAAGCAACAGAAAACTCAAATGGGGCTCTCTTTGAAGTTCACACTTCCCCAAATTTTGTGATGCACTTCTCCTACCAAATAACATGCACAAAATTCCAAACTAGTTACAGGTAGGTAGCCGTGTTGGCCTGCCGTGGTCGAAACAAAATAAAAAAAATTCCTTCCAGTAGCACCTTAGAGACCAACTAAGTTAGTTAGCTCATACAAATAACTCACTTAGTTGGTCTCTAAGGTGCTACTGGAAAAAATTCCAAACATCAAACATTCGGAAAATGTGTTAAAATGCATATATTTGTGGGGAAATGCATTCTATTAGGGACGGCTGGCTTGAGCTATGGTTTTCCCAGTAGTGATGTATGGAAATGAGAGCTGGACAATAAAGAAGGCTGATCGCCAAAAATTGATGCTTTTGAATTATGGTGCTGGAGGAGACTCTTGAGAGTCCCATGGATTGCAAAAAGATCAAACGCATCAATTCTTAAGGAAATCAGCCCTGAGTGCTCCCTGGAAGGACAGATCGTGAAGCTGAGGCTCCAATACTTTGGCCACCTCATGAGAAGAGAAGACTCCCTGGAAAAGACCCTGATGTTGGGAATGATGGAGGGCACAAGGAGAAGGGGACGACAGAGGACGAGATGGGTGGACAGTGTTCTCGAAGCTACCAGCATGAGTTTGACCAAACTGCGGGAGGCAGTGGAAGACAGGAGTGCCTGGCGTGCTCTGCTCCATGGGGTCACAAAGAGTCGGACACGACTAAATGACTAAACAACAACAACTTGAGGCAAAACTGCTTTCAAAAGACTGCCTATTAGGAGATGCGCAGATTAAAATGCTGACTTGCAGACTCATCAGGAAATGAGAAATGAACTGAAAATGAGAAATGAGAAGCATGAAAATGAGAAGCAAAATTTACGTTCCTGGGGTTGCGACCATGTTTGGCAGGTCATCTGCAGGACTTCCGCAGGGCCTGTAAGACAGAGCTATTCCACCTGGCCTTCAATTTGAACTAGCCTGATGCTCTATTCCCTTTTCCCTTTCCTCTTCTATGAAGAAACCCTTTCTGGGACCCCACATTTAAATTCTTCCCTGGTCTCCTTGCTGGCCCTAGTAGGACCAATTTGGCCAGTTAGCCCTGGTGATCATTTGATGTCTACTGACTGGGTACCCCGCCCCCAAATGACCCCTGAATTTTTGAATTTTATTGATATTGATGCTGCATTTTATGTTGTATTCTATGCTGTTTTATGCTGTTTTTAAGTTGCATTTTAATCAATGTTTTATATTTGCTGTTAGCTGCCCTGAGCCCGGTTTTTAAACCGGGAAGGTAAAAAGGTAAAGGTACCCCTGCCCGTACGGGCCAGTCTTGACAGACTCTAGGGTTGTGCGCTCATCTCACTCTATAGGCCGGGAGCCAGCGCTGTCCGCAGACACTTCCGGGTCACGTGGCCAGCGTGACATCGCTGCATCTGGCAAGCCAGAGCCGCACACGGAAACGCCGTTTACCTTCCCGCTAGTAAGCGGTCCCTATTTATCTACTTGCACCCGAGGGTGCTTTCGAACTGCTAGGTTGGCAGGCGCTGGGACCGAGCGACGGGAGCGCACCCCGCCACGGGGATTCGAACCGCCGACCGGGAAGGGCGGGGTATAAATAAAAAATTATTATTATTATCTGTGATTTTCAAAAAGTTGGTTGGTCTTCAATAAGAGCTGTATTTCCCAACGTGGAGATGCGGTTCTGGGGGAAAACAACAACTCTACCTGCTAAACTGAAAGTAGCAGCCTTAGTAATAACCCTCACAGTCAGGAAAAGTGAATTTCATCCTATTTTAACCACAGCCTGCATCAGGTTTACTACTGTTGAAATAAACAGACCTGTCTTAACCATGTTCATTAATTTTTGTGGGTCTTCTCCGAGTAAAACTTAGTTGAATACTACCCAATCTTTTCAGAATAAACCCCAAGCCTTAGCAGAGAAAACCAACCACATTAAATACGTGATAATTTTCTGCAATGGTACCCAAAAGCCCCCTCCTGCTTGACTGAGATTTCCCCAGTCTGCCAATTTCAAGGTGTGGTGTTGCTGACCTGAACAGCGCAGCTTCTTTATGTAAAGTATATTCTGGTGAATCGTTAAACATGGAAAAGCACCGTAATGTTTGGTCTGGTTGAATTACGGGTTGTCTCATCACAATCCTGGTTTTGCATGAAGTCAGGGCGGTGTAGCGGAGAAGGGCTTATCCGCACTTATTTTCCTCTGCTCTTTCCAGGCATGGCCCATGATTTAAAGCTCCATGTCCAAGTGCCTCGGCCTTTTCTCTGGCGCTCTCCTCACGGAAACCCGTTCTTTAAAGCTCCCGAAAACCCATTCCTTAAGGCTCAATTTGAGCAAACGTCAATCCACGGAAAACCCGAACTGACATTTGCTCTGATTCAGCTTTAAAGAGTGGGTTTTTGTGGGGAAAGATTGCCTGGAAAGAGTGGAGCAAAAGGTAAGGGTGGATAAGCCCCTAAAGTAAAGGCAGATTGTGGCCGTGGGAGCAAAAAAGGTGAGACTCTGAGAGGGGAAAATGGTGGTTTAAAACAATGGCAGAAGTTTGAATAAAGCAGTGATGGAGGGGAACTGAGAGGAAAAACCATGGTTTTAAACAACAACAGAGATTTAAGAAAACTACTACAGTGGTACCTCGAGTTAAGAACTTAATTCGTTCCGGAGGTCCGTTCTTAACCTGAAACTGTTCTTAACCTGAAGCACCACTTTAGCTTATGGGGCCTCCCGCTGCTGCCGTGCCGCTGCCATGCGATTTCTGTTCTCATCCTGAAGCAAAGTTCTTAACCGAGGTACTATTTCTGGGTTAGCGGAGTCTGTAACCTGAAGCATCTGTAACCTGAAGTGTCTGTAACCCGAGGTACCACTGTACAGTCAAATCTCGGATCCCAAACGCCTCAGTTTTGGAACATTTCAGTTCCCGAATGCCGAAAACCTGAAAATAAATGCTCTGATTTTTGAACGCTTTTTGAAAGCTGAACATCCAACGCTGCTTCTGCTTGAGTGCAGGAAGCTCCTGTGGCCAATTGGAAGCCACGTCTTGGTTGTCGAACATTTTGGAAGCTGAACGGATTATGTTTGACAACCAAGGTTTGACTGTACTAACAGCCACGATCCTGCCCTTTCATTGTTCCTCCCTTCTTGCTATAATCAAAACGTCTCTCTCTTCCTTTCCTTAGCTGCCTTGTGTGAAGGAGATGATGGACGCAGGGCCCTTAAATACCCCACAGTACTTCCATGCAATGCATTTTACTCCCGGCACTATGCATTGCCTTCAACATGAAGTTCCAGATTCAATGTAGTCGTTTAGAACAGGTATTTTATTTGTTAAGTTGTGGGTGAACATATCAGACGACACAGCGATTCTTCAAACAGCTCCAGTCTATTCAGAGGCCAGAACAGAACTGACTGAAGGGCTCAGTCAGCCTGCTTATATAGAGCTCCAGTACAACGTTACTGTAGCAACTTTGTAAAACTATCCAATCACTGAACGTCACTTTCGATCCTTCATTTGCATAACTATCTACAGTATCCCCCTGCTGGCCCAGGATAAGAACTTCAGTACATAACATTATTAACAAGCAAACACCCATATATGTACAACACCCACCAGCCGAACTTAACCTTCTCTAAGCTGACCTGCTTGCTTGAGTCTGTTTGTCTCAAAGGCACAGTAGCGTTTATGATTGTGGTGCATGTGTGTGTGTTGCAGAATGGGAGGGGGACGAGGATGGAAACGGGGAATGTGTGTGTGTGCAAGGGAGAGTTGCAAAAAGCAGGGCGGAAAGGTGGGAGGGAGGGAAAAACGAGATGAAGGTGAAAATGGGGGTACAAACGGGGTTGCGAAAAGGAGGGAGTAGGGGGCCTGGGAGTGTTGTCCGTTTTTCTAGGCTGCTGCAGGATGTGTCTGTCTGCAGTCTACAGTTAAAGCATCTGTGTTTCCGTTTTCATCACCGATCAGAACCTCTGCATAAGGAGTGCAGCAATTGGACCTAAAAAGGAGGACAAAGTTATAATTGTGTCAAGAACATATTACAGAATAAAACATTAGTTTGCAGCAGGGGCATGTGGTTACTTTTATGATGACTTCTTTTGGTTTATTTATTTTTTACTGAACACTTTGTTCTTTCACTGGATTTCCATGTGAACCAGTCTCAAGCTATTCTTACTCTTCTGCAGAACCAATTGGACACCCTCCCTTCTCTCCCTCCCCTCTCTCTAGTCTTGGGTGGGAGGGAGTGAACTGGGGGGGGGAGAGGGAGTTTGAGCCGCCATTCTGTCCTCTGCCTGGACCACCTCCATTTGGGGGGTGGGTTGGACCCTTGCTTTTCAATCTACATCTGCACAGCTGCATTTAGCTTTGAAAGCACCCCCTCCCCCCAAAAAACATCTTCAGTTTATATGGGTTGGGAGGAAAATTTGTGATTGTGGGAGGAATGTGATAGCTGTATACACTCTGCGACTGGAAGTGAATTGATAGAAGAAGAGGAGTTTGGATTTGATATCCTGCTTTATCACTACCCGAAGGAGTCTCAAAGCGGCTAATATTCTCCTTTCCCTTCCTCCCCCACAACAAACACTCTGTGAGGTGAGTGAGGCTGAGAGACTTCAGAGAAGTGTGACTGGCCCAAGGTCACCCAGCAGCTGCATGTGGAGGAGTGGGGAAGCAAACCCGGTTCACCAGATTACGAGTCTACCGCTCTTAACCACTACACCACACTGGCTCTCTCTATGTTAACTAGCATGGGGGGAAATAAGAGGTTGGAGCCCTGGAAACAACTGGAGGGAGAAAATCTCTCCCCTCTCCCAATGAGCTTTGTGGATAGCAGGACAATACTCAATACAGTGGTACCTTGGGTTACAAACACTTCGGGTTATAGACTCCGCTGACCCAGAAGTAGTACCTCAGGTTAAGAACTTTGCTTCAGGGTGAGAACAGACATCGCGCGGTGGCAGTGGGAGGCCCCATTAGCTAAAGTGGTACCTCAGGTTAAGAACAGTTTCAGGTTAAGAACGGACCTCTGGAATGAATTAAGTTCGTAACCAGGGTACCTCTGTATGTATCATTGCTGTTCAGTTTCCCCAAATTAAGCTCAAGAGGGCGCTGTTGGACAGCTAGAGATCTGTTGCACTTCCTAGACATCTGACAACCTAAGAGAAAAACTGTGTATGTAGATTGCCTTCAGTGCTGATTCTGTTGTATTCACATATGATGGAAATAATGGCCAGTAGTTGTTCCTGTCATGGGTTGAACCTCTAGTAGCGTCCCATGAGAACAAACTGAGGCCACTGGTTTGTTGTTTGCATCCGTCTGTCTTGGGAGACAACGGAAGAGTGTGCCTTCAGGGGCAAAGTCCATTATTATTATTATTATTATTATTATTATTATTATTATTATTACTACTACTACTACTACTACCCATTCATTGCTTTTTACAAAATACCCCAAAGCAACTTAGAAAATGGTAAAATGCAGAACAAATTCCCCAAATGCTTAAAATTCTGCAACACAGAATAAACTCTGAGAATAATAAAAGTGAGAAAGAATTGATGGAATGAAGGCTCAGCCACTCTTCTGTTTCTCCGCAGAAAACCTGACTGATGTTTGTTCCGATTCAGCAGTAAACAGCAGGTTTTCCTGGGGAAAGTGGGGGGACGAGAGAACAACCTCTCAGACCCGTGCCTAGAAATCATGGGGCGAGTGTTAAGCGTGGATGAGCCTTGAGTCTCTCTCCACTAAAAAGCAAACACCGAATGAGGCCAGTTTCACACCACATCATGCTTAAATTGAAATCCAAAAGCCTGTTTGTACCTGGCACCTAAAGGCTGGCAGTGCTGGAGCCAGGTGACCTCTTCAGGGGAGGGCATTCCATTAGCAGGGAGTCAACACTTAAAAGGCCCTGCCTTTTAAGACACTAGTGCGTAATTGGTTAAGGAGACAACCTGATTATGGTCTGGAGTGCCGGGACCTCGCATCCAGTTGTCTTCTGTCCCTGTTCCTCACCATCAGCTCTGTTAGCAGGAGGACCAGAGAATCACTCCCTGGTCTCAAGGACCCTGCTTTCGGTGTGTGCTCTCTGACACTACATAAGCAGAAGAGATTTTTCACATAAAACATTCTGCAAGTGGCTTATTTGGTCCCCCCCTTCCCCTTCATTTGGGGGTTATCAGCGTAGGAAATAAACTGAAGCTATCGCTGTGGGTTAAACCACAGAGCCTAGGACTTGCCGATCAGAAGGTCGGTGGTTCGAATCCCCGTGAAGGGATGAGCTCCCGTTGCTCGGTCCCTGCTCCTGCCAACCTAGCAGTTTGAAAGCACGTCAAAGTGCAAGTAGATAAATAGGTACCACACATGCGGGAAGGTAAACGGCGTTTCCGTGCGCTGCTCTGGTTTTGCCAGAAGCTGGCTTAGTCATGCTGGCCACATGACCCAGAAGCTGTACGCCGGCTCCCTTGTCCAATAAAGCGAGATGAGCACCTCAACCCCAGAGTTGGCCACGACTGGACCTAATGGTCAGGGGTCCCTTTACCTTTCTTTACCTTTATCCTCAGGGAACAGGAATGGGGCCTCCTCCTTCGATGCAAATATGTAAAGGCTCAATAATCTAACATCAAAGTGAATCAGGATGGGAAATGTTGTATTAACAGGTCATCAGGAGGAGCCCCATGGACATACATACCGATAGTGACAAATGACCTCCTTGCTGCCACCTGCCCCCTGTGGGTTGCAAGATAGTTGAGATCCCTCTGGTGTGGCACGGACAGTGACAGCACTTTGAGCATCCTTAGCAGCAAAGCTCATGTACCAAAGGCGCTGAGAGCAGGTAGGTCTGTGCTGCATGCTGCCTGCACAAGGCATGTTAAAGTCTAGGAGGACGTGGAATGGTGAGATCTGGTCTGTTTCCTGTTTGGGTAGAGAACATGTTGGTTGGTAAATACCAAAGAGTATCCACCAGTAAGGGACGCGGGTGGCGCTGTGGGTTCAACCACAGAGCCTAGGGCTTGCCAATCAGAAGGTCAGCGGTTCAAATCCCCGTGACGGGGTGAGCTCCCGTTGCTCGGTCCCTGCTCCTGCCAACCTAGCAGTTCAAAAGCACGTCAAAGTGCAAGTAGATAAATAGGTACTGCTCTGGCGGGAAGGTAAACGGCGTTTCCGTGCGCTGCTCCGGTTCGCCAGAAGCGGCTTAGTTATGCTGGCCAACATGACCCGGAAGCTGTACGCTGGCTCCCTCGGCCAATAAAGCGAGATGAGCGCCGCAACCCCAGAGTCGGCCATGACTGGACCTAATGGTCAGGGGTCCCTTTACCTTTACCTTTATCCACCAGTAAATGCCACCATCAACTAGGGCAGGTGCTTAATTTTATCCAGCATGGTATTCTCCACATATTTTAGAGTGCAGCTCCCATAACTCCTCACTTTTGGCCATGCTGGCTGTGGGTGATAGGAATTGTAGCCCACAAAATCAGAAGGGCTACCCTGAGCTAGAGACTCAGTCCGTTTTCGTCAGTTTCACATGCTGTTCATTCATCAATCTGCCAAGCCCAATTTCCACACGAAGGGTTTTCCAAACAACAATGGAAATTTGTACTGAAATACATAGGTGTTCATCTATATTTTATCTCCATGCATTCATTTCTAAACATACCTCATCGCCAAATATACATTAAATACTTTTCTGAGCCAAGAATTGTGTGATAGAGTTCAGATAAACTAGCACCATGAACGGGGCCTGGTAGAGAATGAACAGATAACGTTAAGAGGAGTAAGAGTTTGGATTTGATATCCCACTATATCACTACGCTAAGGAGTCTCAAAGCGGCTAACAATCTCCCCCCCCCGACCAACAAACACTCTGTGAGGTCAGTGGGGCTGAGAGACTTCAGAGAAGTGTGACTGGCCCAAGGTCACCCAGCAGCTGCATGTGGAGGAGCAGGGAATCGAACCCGGTTCACCAGATTACGAGTCTACTGCTCTTAACCACTACACCACACTGATGACACAGTGATTATTGGAGTGTTCCTTCAGTTGGGATTCAGTATATGGATATTAGCAGTGGCCATGAAAAATCAACGTGGAGTGAAAACTCACCAGGGCAGTTTCAGGAACAACCATGATGGGCAGTTTCAAGTAGTTTTGAGCTGCCGAGCTTTGAGCTGTGAATGTTGCAGTGCTGAAAGAACATCCAGTGATTATGAACTGTTTATAATGGGGGGGGGGGGTATAAATGAGAAGGGACAGTCTAGCATCTATACTTTGTTGCCCTCAGCAATCCAGCTTAGCTGTGCTGCATCATCGTATCCTACTAGTATATCATCTGGATCCACCAGTTCCTAATTCTTCGCTCAGAAAACATTGGAGTCTTGGTACCATCTTAATAATAATAATAATAATCTTCCTCTGCTCCCCGTTCTTAGGGCTGTGAATGTGCACTGTCTGAAACCTTCAAGAGCTTTAATGTAGACTAGTGGCTCCCAGAACATTTCTGTACATTTACCGCTTTAAAATTGTGATGATGTTGGTGGACCCCTCAATTATTTTTCTGCCTCCTGTAGCAATTGAAATGGGATGTGCTAGATGCTTTTTCATTGTATTTCTATTGCTTATTTTATTTTTTATATTGTAATACAATAAAATACAATGTTAGAAGGAAAAGGAGCATTAAGAACACAATTAGAAATCAATATGTATATTTAATGTGGACATTCCACGGAACAGCTGAATGAAGCAACTTGTGATCCACAGGCCAGTTTGGGAACCCCTGGTGTAGACAATATTCATCTAGATAAGGGTTGGCAAACCTTTTCTGGCTGGTGGGCCTTATCTCCTTATCTCCCCACCCTGGTGGGCCAAATTGGACAGGTGGGTGGGGTCTCCCACCTATCACTTGATGTAATTGTGCTGTTCAGGTGATGCTGTGCTTTGAAGCACCAATTGTTGGGACTTCAAAGTGCAGTGCAGGGCTGTTTGAAAGCCCTTTTGCAAACAGCCCCATGCTGCTGGTTTTCAGAGGTTCAAAATGATGTGCAGCCCTGCACTGATCGTTGTACCTGTGGTTTTCAGAGGTTCAGAGAACAGCACTGGGACAGACTATCAATAAAAAAAAACGGGGGGGGGGGAATCCACTGCAGCCACTGCTAAAATAGAGATTTCCCTCCTCCCTATCAACAGCAGTTACCTCCTGGAGCAAGACATATTCATAAAAACTTGCCCCCTCAAAGCAAGCTCAACAACTTTTGTGTCCGAATTTTCACTTTGATATATGGCAACCCTAGTATAAGGCAGCTTATAATCAGTACCAAGTGAAGTAATTCCAAGTCTTCCGAGGGCTGCTACCTACCTAGAGAACCCTCAGAACCTGACACCTCCTCTCTCTCCTCAATCCACATGTACACTCCTATCATCTCCCAGACCACTCAAGACTTTCATTTCTACAATTTGGGCAATGCCATCCTACCTGGAGGTAAAGCTGTCACTCCCTAAAGCTGCTGTGAAGGTTGCGTTGAGTAGGACGCTCTCTCCTGGGTTTAGGAATTTTTTGGGTGGTGTAAAGCTGCTCAGGAGACCCTGGTCATCCCAGACTTCAAAAGAGAATGAAGCCGCTTGCCCACTGTTCACCACCATGACAGAGACCTCCAGGCTCTCACCAGGCAACATTGCACCTGGAGAAATAGGAAGACACGCTCGTAATTGTTAGGTATAATGGTGTAATTGACATTGAAATGGAAAATGCCTGTATGTATATTGCTGAAGGTTTAACTGGAAAATCCTATTGGGCAATATTGAAGCTAAGAAGAGCTCTCTGAGAGCCTAGGTGGGTTAATAATTAACTGTTGATGTTCTCTGTTAGCTCTCACTTGGTGTTTAATTTTAGGTCATGTGAGAGAGGTATTCAGTTGCAAATCGCCACTTTGGGGAGTTGGCCATTGAGTTTTTCTCTGGAAGCCACAGAGAACAAAAGATGTGGTCTCCCGAAGAGAAAACAGCTCCAGGCTAATGGAGTCTGTGTGGTGAGAGACAGACTTCTGGTTTTAGGTCTGTTTGGAATTATTTCATTTTTTTTAAGAAGGTGGAACCTATGCTGGCCGTGCACATGATATTATACAACTAATATGAATGTATCGTTATTTGTTCTTTTGTTTGTTTTGAAGCAAGTTCTGTCTAGTAAAGCTTCTGAATCTTATTTATGGGCCTGGACCATTTTATTCAAAGAGGAGTCAGTTTTATGCATCCTACTGCTTCAAAGCTGTGCAATATTAATACCTGCAATAGTAATGTAGACAACTATCAGCATTTGGGTGGTGGTAGTGGCAAGGAAACACCACCGCTGGTGGTAGCAGCGAGGAAGCACCTGGGGTGTGTGCATGTTGCAGATTGCTTTGGATCTATTCTGCTATATTATAGGTCCTGTGATGCTTCTCCAGCGTTACCACATTCTATCTGTTACCGGCTTGTTCCATCACAATGGGAAAGGGGGAAGAGAACCACACTCACTCTCTTGGTTTGGCAGGGGCACAATCTGCACGGACTCTGTGCTGATGGGATAGCTGGTGACTCGTGAAAAGGGAAGGTTTCCGGGAGACAGGCCTTCCACAGTCAGCAGGGTAGTCTAAAAGATAATGGAGAAAGAACAATTGCTATTGATCTTTTACAGCACAGCTGTGGAATCTGTGGCCTTCCAGAAGTTCTTGGACTACATCTCGCCTCACCCTTGACTTTGGAGCCATGTTGGCTGGGGCTGATGGGAGTTGTAGTCCGGTAGCATCCGGAGGGTTCTCCCATTCCTGCTTTTCTCTGATGATGATGATGATGATGAATTCAATTTATATACCGCCCTTTGTCAAAAGATCCCAGGGTGGTGTGCAACATTAGAGAACCCATTTTTATAGAACGGAAATGGTTTATTGAATATTTGCAAACAAATTGTAAACGGTTAAGAACATTGGCAAAATAATAACCTGTGGTTTTATAAGAGTATGCATTTTGAGGAGATGAATAAATGAACAAATTAAGTTGGATATGCAGAAAATATTAAAAATAAATTTAAGGAACCACAGAAAGAGGGGGAAGGAAGTCAAGTTCTGAAATGTTAAAATGGCTGTAAAATTATTGAAATGTATAAACCTGAAATTCATAAGCAAAATATTTTAAAAAGAACCCATTTTATGGAGCATCAATAATAAAACATAATAACAGACAGCATAATTATAAAATATTTATAATAACAACCACCCCCTCAGCTTTAACAGGCCATAGATTGTTTAATGGCTGAAGGCCTGGGTAAAGAGGAATGTTTTTGCCTGGTGCCTGAAGACAAGGAATGAAGGTGCCAGGCAAGGCTCTCTGGGGAGAGCATTCAACAGTCAGGGAGCCACCACAGAAAAGGCCTGTTGTCATGTTGCCATAGTCTGAACCTGCTGCGGCCTGGAACTTCTGAAGTGAGCAAGTGTCAGGAGCAAGGAGGAGGAGGAGCAACTGCTTCTTCTTGGCCCCCACTCCCTCTCAGTAACGGAACGGATTGGGGTCCAGGAAGGGGTGGCCCAATACATTTTGCTTCTTGAGGCAAAGGGCAAGACGGTGACTCCCTCCATATAGAAAAGCCCAACAGATTGGCAGGTAAAACTTACTTCAACACGGGCCACAGAACAGTGTCCTGCACTGCCCCTGAGGGTAGCAGGCTGGTTCATGTATTTATCCGTCTGTTACATTTCTGTCTTGCCCTTACTTCCAAAGAAGCCCAGAGCAGGAAATGGCAGAAAATAAATAAGAAAAAGCAAATCAATCACCTATCCTATTTTACCCTCACAACATCCCTGTGAGGTAAATTAGGTTGAGAGAGAATGCTCCAGGTCACCCCATGAGTTTCACAGCTGAGCAGGGATCATGAACCCTGGTCTCCCAGGTCCTAGTCCAACGCTTTAACCATTACACCACCTTGTCTCAAAGACATCTTAAAACATTTCAAGACAGTCACATATCCTCACAGCTAATGATTTCAGGGTTGCTGAGAACTGAACCTTCCAACTGTCAAATTTCAGTGTCCATAGGTGCCAGCTCTAGGGAGCCCTGTGTGCCAGGGCACCCAGATTTTTTTCTGGGTGGGTGCCCACAATGCGGGACTCCAACACGACTTCCAGTTTCTACTGGAAGTCGTGTCAGACCCAACCTCCCAGATGACGTCCGAAGCCCTGCAAAGCCTCGGAACACGACTTCTGGTAGAAACCGGAAGTCACGTTGGAGGTCTTGCAAGGCCTGGGACATGGCCTCCGAGACCTGGCAATGTCTCAGAAGCGACATCCGAGACCCTCCGAATGTGGTAGAAACCGGAAGTGGTGTGAGTGGTCTCGGAAATGAGGCCCTGGAAGCATCGCCACGCTGCCGATGCAACATGGCGTCACGACATCATGATGTCACGTTACGTCATGGGCACCATTGGGCGCCCATAACCTGGAGCCCAAGTCAGCGCTCCTGTCAGTGTCTGTAGCAGTGTTACCTAGGCAAAGAACTTCAGGCCTGGAGGGCTGGGATCAGACCCTGGGCTGGAGATCCCTGCTTTAGCTAAAAACATGGGAGAGAGAACTTACTGGGTTATCTAAGGAAACGGGGGCAATCGCCCAGGGGCTTTCAAGGGCATCAAAGGCTTGTTTCAGAGAGATGGAATCTATGGGCTTCCCTGATCCAGAGATAGGGACCAGGCGCTGGATCCTAGCACCTTTAGTATCTTCCATCAGCCTCAGGGACACAGTGTAATTTGAGCCTGCAACAAAAATGCAGAAAGTCAGTTTAGTTTCACTGGAGATCCTCTGGTCTTTCTTCCTCCGCTATCAATGCAATGTCCCCACTGAGTTTGGATTTGATATCCCGCTTTATCACTACCCGAAGGAGTCTCAAAGTGGCTAACATTCTCCTTTCCCTTCCTCCCCCACAACAAACACTCTGTGAGGTGAGTGGGGCTGAGAGACTTCAAAGAAGTGTGACTGGCCCAAGGTTACCCAGCAGCTACATGTGGAGGAGCGGAGACGCGAACCCGGTTCACCGGATTACAAGACTACTGCTCTTAACCACTATACCACACTGGCTGGGTTTCCCCTCTTGGGACTTATAGTTGCATCCTGAGCTAATTGGGGTACAGTGGTACCTCAGGTTAAGAATTTAATTCATTCTGGAGGTCCGTTCTTAACCTGAAACTGTTCTTAACCTGAGGTACCACTTTAGCTAATGGGGCCTTCCACTGCCGCCGCACGATTTCTGTTCTCATCCTGAGGTAAAGTTCTTAACCTGAGGTACTATTTCTGGGTTAGCAGAGTCTGTAACCTGGAGTGTCTGTAACCTGAGGTACCACTGTATTTTTCACAGTCTGGAAAGCAGAATTTTCTTTACTGGATATAATGTGTGGTTGGTTTGTACTTCATGTCTGTTGTAGCTTCATGTGCAGCAACAGCAGAGATTTTAGACTACCCTCTTGGCTGGTCACCTGTGGCGAGTAAGACCAAGATAGCAGGTGATCAGGCTCAGAAGCTTTTGTCAACTGAATGAAAGTAGAAAAGGCCACAGCTCAGTGGTAGATGTTCTGCCTCAAATACAGAAGGATTCATCCCTGGCATCATTGCTTTTCCAACTACATTGGCTCCTGGTGAGTACAGGGTCAGGTTTAAGGTGCTGGTTTTGACCTTTAAAGCCCTTCATGGCCTAGGACCCTCGTACCTACGGGTCCGCCTCTCCTGGTATGCCCCACGGAGGACCTTAAAGTCCATATATAGCAACACCCTAGAGGTCCCAGGCCCTAAGGAAGTTAGATTAGCTTCAACCAGAGCCAGGGCCTTCTCAACACTCAGGAACACTCTGTCTCTTGAGACCAGGGCCCTGCGGGATCTGATCTCTTTCCGCAGGGCCTGTAAGACAGAGTTGTTCCGCCTGGCCTTTGGCTTAGAATCAGTTTGATTCCCTCCCCCTCTTTCTTTTTCCTTTCTCCTCCTATGAAGAGATTGCACCCTAATGTTTTAATGTTGTATCTTAATCTTTTAAATTGTATTTTAATCAACTTGTTTTTATTATTGGTTGTTAGCCACCCTGAGCCCGGTCTTGGCTGGGGAGGGCGGGGTATAAATAAAAATTTATTATTATTATTGTTGTTGTTGCTATTATTATTATTATTATTATTATTATTATTATTATTATTATTATCTTCAGTTGGAAGGTGATGGGAAAGGCCTTTGTGCCAAACCAGGGATGATTAAGGAATTTGACCTTTGTGAAGTCCAATGTGAAGCACACAGGAACAGCCTTCCTGGATCAGGCCAAGGGCCCACCTGGTCCACTGTACTGTTCTCACAGTGGCTAACCAGAGGCCCACGGGAAGCTTGCAGGCAGAACCTGAGCCCGACAGCCGCTCTCCCCTCCTGCGGTATCTAGCAAATGATGATCGTCTGCATCTTTTGGACTAAATGTTAGTATTTCATGCAGCCTGTGCTGCAGATGAGATTGTTGCCTGTCTGGGACAGGTCTGGGAAAGGAAGAACATCTTATCTCTTCTGCTGCGGGTACTGTTTCGCTGTACTTTTGCGTTTATTTCTGTCTGTTTCGTTCTCTCGGAGCTGGAGAGAACAGACGCCATTACTCCTTTGTCTGTATATAGTGTGTAAATAAATAGTAGATTAGATCTACGATGTCTCACACTTCTTGCTGTGTAATGCTAGAAGTATAGTGTGCATACATCATTTGATTTATGTCGCTGGAGCGCCCTGGAGAAGAAGGGAGATACCTTTTCCAGTGTTGCGTACATCGGAGGACGCTCGGAGTTCTGGGGGCCTACAGGAACTCCCAGGGCGTTTTTCCAACACTAAAGTATAGATCAGAAGCTAGTTTGCAGGATTCTTGATAGGCTCCAATGCATTATCAAAATGTATACAGTGGTACCTCGGGTTATATACGCTTCAGGTTACAGACTCCGCTAACCCAGAAATAGTGTTTCAGGTTAAGAACTTTGCTTCAGGATGAGAACAGAAATCGTGCTCCGGTGGCGCAGCAGCAGCAGGAGGCCCCATTAGCTAAACTGGTGCTTCAAGTTAAGAAGAGTTTCAGGTTAAGAACGGACCTCTGGAACGAATTAAGTATTTAACCCGAGGTACCACTGTATTTTGAGAGAAAATACATTCAGTAATTCTCTGTACAACTCTTGGAAAAGGATAGGTGCTTTTTTAAGTTTTTTAAAAAACAACAGCAGCGCCAGATACTCCTGCCCTCAGTGTGGGTGCTTCACATCCCAGAAAACTTACCTTCCACAGGTTTTCCCTGGACCGGAAGCACATACTCTTTCTGCTTCTGCATAATCTGGTAGGAAAAGTCAAGCAAACTCTTGCCTCCGATTTCCACCTCGTAGGAACCCCTGGGAGAGACAGTCATGGTCCACATGCCCCGTTCAGGAATGGGGGACACCTTCACAATCTTGTGGCTGGCTGTGTTGATCACTGTGTGAGTGGACGGTGAGACACCTGCCACAGGATGACACAAAGACAGACAAGGTTGCAGGAGATGGAGAGATGCCTGGCCCTCAGAGCTCTCCCCAGCCACGGGGGCCACCAGGGGGCGCATTGGAAGATGGCCGACAATAACATCTCTCCGACCCACACGAGGTAATTAAGAGGCTGTTATGGGAATATGCAGCTTCCCTTGCCCCCCCAAGGGAATGGGGGGGGGACTGCCTTGCCTGCTGTGCCCATAATTCACCCCCCGATTCGAAAGAATGGGGTGAGGGCACTAGGCACAAAGCCCTTGGGTGGAGTCGGCTCTCCCGGGCGCTGTCTCTGAATCGCACACTGGTTTGCATCAGCTCGAAATAGATAATTGGAAATAGAAGGATGCACATACTTCAAGTGAAGATCGGGAGTAAAGACTGCTGATTAATGGGATCTCTGTGAGCGGAGCGACGGGCTGGACAATAAATCAAGTGAAGACTCATCATTAAAAGATCGGTATGTCGGAGCGAAACAGAAAGGGGAGGGAGGAAAAACTTTTCTTTTTTTGTCTTATGTGAGTACCCAATAATCCTCCCTCCCAGAGGAGGGAAATTACTAATCACAAACAGGAGATTAAGAACTGTGTGGAAATAAATTACTGATCAAAGAGAGGACTGGTGGTAACGTCTGATGGAAAGAAAGCTTTGTGACGCAGTTTCAAATAGAGATTTGTTAAGACAGGCCTGCTCACAGGAGGACGAGGGGGAGGAGGACCATGGTCATTGGAATGTCAATGTATAGTTATCAGAATGTGGATTTGACCTGGCAGGGCCCCCTGAGATACAGTTTCGCAGGCCTGTGGAAATCAACGGACAGACTGTGGGAATGTTCTCTTTGGAGGTGTGGAAATGGCGTCTGTCCTTTATGTGATATGGCTCTTGGAGAGTGTAAAATCCACACAGGATATGTTTGTTTTCAACCCGCTTATTATCAGAGATCACAAAGAAAGGAATATATGATAACAACAAGAAGATGATGAAAATAACAAAGAGACTATCTGGACAGAACTGGACAGAACTGTGTAATTAAAGCAGCAACAAGAGTGATGTTTGGATCCCTTTCGGAGCTCGAAGTATGGGTACCCCCAATAAAATTTCAGAGCTCTCCCCAGCCATTCCCTTCTCTTCAGACAACAGCCCTCACTGCTCCTGTTTGCACCTGCCTTGTTTGTGCCTGGCTGGAATATGTCCTTGAACTGTGATGATGTTGCTTGCTGGTCTGGTTGGAAGATAGGGAGGCATGTATGATTGACTAGGCTGCTGTATGAAGGTAACATTTCCACTCATTGCTCCACACACTATTGTTATGTAGGCCTTTGAAGATTGCTGTCCATAGCTGTCAACTTACAGTTTTGAAAATAAGGGACCAGAAGCCCCGAAAATAAGGGATCAGCAGCCAAAATAAGGGATTTTCCAAGCACAGGTATGTTCAACTTCTGAGCCCATCTGATCCAAAGGCAGAAAGCCCAGCCAGCAGCCAAACGAAGCCTCAAGTGGTGGTTCCCACAGCACAGCAACCCGGCAAAAGGGATGCAGCAAGGAAAACCACCGTCACCTCTCCGCTGGGAAGCGCTGAGCAAAGGCGAGTCCCCAGGCAACGCGGCCGACTTGATCGGCACAAGGCATGCAAGCTCCACCCCCCAGTCGTTCTTAGACTCCTTATTGGGTGAGCAACGCAGCCAGGCAACACAGTGGGAGCCTCCCTCCTCCCTGGCCGACAGGGAGGGAGGGAGGGAGGGAGGGAGAGGAGCTGCTTCCTTTGAAACCCGGGAAATTTAAGGGACATCATCAATAAGGGACAGCAGTGGGACATGGCGCTGGGATAGGGGACTTTCCCGCCAAATAAGGGACGGTTGACAGCTATGTTGCTGTCACAGACTAGTTGGACACAGAGGAATGTTGGGAAGAACCAGTCAGGGAAGAAGGCTCAGAGCCCGGGGAGAGGTGTTGGGACCATGATGAGTGGTTCAGAGGGAGAAGATTGGGAAGAGGCGGTGTCGGAAGCTGAGGAGGTAACAGGGATTAGTGAGCTGGGAGAGTCTGTGGCAGAGAGAAGCCCAGAATCAGAGGCAGAAACTGAGGCAGGAGAGGAGGAAGGCAGAGAGGCAGAGATGAGTCTGGCTGGGGAAGAGGCACAGGTGTCTCCCCATCCTGCTGCAACAAACTCCTCTCCCCACTGGTCTCCCAGACCCTGGAGAGGCATGAAAAGAGCGGAGGAGAGATTGGTGACTTGCAGGCGCAGTCTTCGATTGCTTCTTGGGGGGCAAGACCTACCGGAGGTGAGTTGCTATGCTCATTAGGCCTGACACTTCTGTTTTTGCTAATAAAGAGTTAACTCTAACTTGCCTGGTGTGATTTACTGCTGGCTTGCTTATGACAGTGGCTTAGAAGGACAACCCTCTGGCTGCAAAAGGTTCCCCATTCGTGATGTAGAGGATGGTGACTTACACAGGAATCAGTATTCTAGCCCCTGCCCCCAGTTATACACCTGCAGGAAAGCTCGCTGCTTCATCCTCTGCATTACAACAAATCGTACCTGAAGGCTGCAGCAGAAAAACGGTGAATCCTGAGGCGCTTAAGCTCTTGACGGAGACAGTGATTTCTGTGAGGGTCTCATCCACAGGGAAAGAGAGCTGAGATCCATCCAAGTGCTTATGGACCACTTTGACAGGGGCAGCATTCAGAGACAGCTCCATGATGCCCAAGACCCGGCCAAGTTCACCTTTGGTGGTCTTCACATAGAAGCCTCCGGAATAGGCAGCTAGTTGTTCATAGATGTTAGAATAACCTCTCCGGGAAGCCTCCTCGGCAGCACCTGTGGAGAGGAAGGATGGAGTTTTGTCTTGAAACCTGGTCTCCTCCCTTTCTCTGTTCACATCAGTGTGGGAATGTTCAGGGATGCAGGAGAGGATATATTGTTTGATTATAGCTTTTCCAACTTGTGTAAACAAGTTCGCAATTTACCAGAGTAACATTCCCCTTTTTAAACTCACAGTGGATGTGTCTGCTCAGGCTCACTAAAGCCTCTATAATAACTGTTTTGGTATTTCCCCCTTATTCCCTCATAAAAGATAAGACATGACACAGTCTTCTGTAAAAATATAAAAAAGAGTTTACTCACTCACATTCTGTTCACAATTGGATCCCAGAAGGCAGACTTATCTTAGAAAAGTAACATATACCTGGAAACTATCTCATAAGGAGACAGTCCCTTTGTCCTCTCTTGGCTGGAGGTCAAGAGAGCATCTTTGGCTAAGCAGATGTTGCTTTTTCAATGCATGTAGTCAAAGAGAGAGAGATGGCTGCCCTGCCCTGTGCTTTTGTCGTTAACTGCACAGGTGAGGCCACGCCCACCTCTAGTCACATGCAGAGGAAGTCTGACCCAGCCCAGAAGGAAACAGGAAGTTTACCTGCTGGCTGGACAAACATTCCTCCCCATGTGTAAACATGTTCACTCTAGGAATGTTGTACTTGACTGTTCTTGTGTTTCACACCCCACAAGCAGGAAAGGCAAACCACAGCTTTTGGCAGCAGTTGCTTATAATAATTACACAATATAAGATGGGTCTGGTTCTGAATGATCTCTCAAAGGTCCTGCCCAAATTTTGTGACACTGGTTGTAGAAAGAGGCCGCTAAGGAAAGTCAAACCAGCTGGACCTCGACTGATTGTCATGGTTCCTATGTACTGCCCCCGTTGTTGGAGGCAATATGCGTCTGAATGCCAGCTGCTGGGAATTGCAATAGGTAATAAAGGTACTCTTGATTGTGTGCTTCCAATAGGCATCTGGTTGGTCAGTGTGAGAGCAGGATGCTACCCTAGATGGGCCATATGCATGACCCAGCAGCACAGACAGCTCTTGTCTCCTCATGAGTCCAGCAGATTCTCCTTGGCTGCAAGGATGGGCTTTTGCACAACTGAAAAGATGGTCAGGTTCAGGAGATCGGTTGTCACCGGAGCAAATAGTTGGGGATCCTTCTGGAAGAGGGCAGGCTTTCCCTTCCTTTGCTCTCCCCTGTGGGAGGGGATATCACTGAGATTTCTGTGTGGGCACAAAAGAGGGCAACAGACAGGGATTCCTGGCACTGAGTCTGGAGAGAGACATAAGACTTCATTGCTACAGCACCCTAGAAATGGGATAAATGTAAGAAAGCAAAGTGGCTGTCCAACAGAGCCTTATAGTTAGAGCTATGGTTTTCCCAGTAGTGATGTACGGAAGTGACAGCTGGACCATAAAGAAGGCTGATCACCGAAGAATTGATGCTTTTGAATTCTGGTGCTGGAGGAGATTCTTGAGAGTCCCACGGACTGCAAGAAGATCAAACCTCTCCATTCTGAAGGAAATCAGCCCTGAGTGCTCACTGGAAGGACAGATCCTGAAGCTGAGGCCCCAATACTTTGGCCACCTCATGAGAAGAGAAGACTCCCTGGAAAAGACCCTGATGTTGGGAAAGATTGAGGGCCCAAGGAGAAGGGGACGACAGAGGGCGAGATGGTTGGACAGTGTTCTCGAAGCTACCAGCATGAATCTGACCAAACTGCGGGAGGCAGTGGAAGACAGGAGTGCCTGGCGTGCTCTGGTCCATGGGGTCATGAAGAGTAGGACATGACTAAATGACTAAACAACAAAAGAAATGGGATGCAGGTGGCGCTTAGACCACAGAGCCTAGGGCTTGCCGATTGGAAGGTCGGCAGTTCGAATCCCTGCGACGGGGTGAGCTCCCACTGTTTGGTCCCAGCTCCTGCCAACCTAGCAGTTTTAAAGCAAGCAGTGCAAGTAGATAAATAGGTACTGCTCTGGCGGGAAGGTAAACGGTGTTTCCATGCTGTCAGGGGCTCAGGGGCAGAGCCAAAGGGGAAGGAGGAGTTGGAGAGCGAAGGGGAGGAATCTGAGGGGAGCTTAGGAGGGTATGACAGTGACCCGAGAGATTCCATGAGTCTCTCCAGCGAATCAGAAGATTCTCAGAAAGAGGCGCCCAGGGTCAGGGCAAGGGGGGCCAGCGGTGAGTCCCCAAGCGGCAGCTGGAGATCAGGGCCAGCTTCCCTGCCAGAGCGTAGCGGGGAGGAAGAAGCCCACAGATCAGAACCGGCGTCCACTCCAGCATGGAGAGAGAGAGAGTCAGAGCTGACCACGCCTCCGTCGGAGAGTGGAGGGGCGGAGCGGAGGTCAGTTCCAGCCAGCCCCCCCGAAGGGGGAAGCAGTGACAGGAGCAGTGTAGCCGTTAGGAGGAAAGTGGCCGGCTGGGCGCGCGCGTCAAGTTCAAATGTGCAGGCGCGCGGGTCAGCAGAAAATCCGGATTGGGAGCCAGGTCCCAAAGCCCGCCGGAGACAGGGGGAGGAGTCAGAGGAATCCGCCTCCGAAGAGTCCAGGAGGGGTGGAACCCCAGGGGGCAGGAGGACCCAGAGGAGAAAAGGGCAGAGGAAGAGGTGGAGCAAAGCTCGGGTGTTAAACTGGTGTAGGGGAGGGGAAGAGTCAGACGGAGCTTCGACGGTCTAGAGTTACAGACGTAGGGATGCGCGCCACGGATGTAAAACCAACAATGAACTTCAATAAAGACTTTTGTATATAAAGAGACACTGGCGTTGGTCCTTTGTGAGCTGGGACCTGAGGCACCCCTGACACATGCGCTGCTCTCGTTTGCCAGAAGCGGCTTAGTCATGCTGGCCACATGACCTGGAAGCTGTCTGCAAACAAACGCCGGCTCCCTCGGCCTTTAAAGCAAGATGAGCGCACAACCCCAGAGTCGTCCATGACTGGACCTGCCAGGGGTACCTTTACCTTTACTAGAAACCTAATGCAGGGATGTTTTGACTTTTCAAGTCTGGCAATGGGCCATGAGGAGTTTGGGGAAGTGGAGGTCCTCATCTTTGGAGGGGGTTTGAAACATGTCTTTAAAAAATCACATGGAGTTCGGTGTGGACTATGGAAAAGGGACTGATCTGTCGAGAAGGGACAAAAATATTGTTAAGTTGGAGTTTCCACGAGTGAAAGGAGCAGGAGACAAAGTAAGGTACAGGTATAAACATGAATAATAATAATAATAATAATAATAATAATAATAATAATATCTTTATTGTCATTGCCCCCTCTCGGGGACAACGAGATTTGCGAAAGGGACATGGAAGAGACTTAAGGGCCTCGGACATAAGATTGCCAGGTTAATGGACTAGATGGATGGGAAAGAAAGGACTGACTAATCCCGGGACCAGGAGGAAGAGACGTTGGATGAAGATTGGGAAAAAAATTATTTAGGACTGTTCTGAAAAATTAATGAATATTAAGAAAATGTTAGAATGAAATTATTTGGCTCTAGCAGAAATGTTAAAAAGAGCTTTGCAAGAATATGTTAAGGTTAGGAGAAATTGGCATAAATAAGATTTAAGTTTTAAATTTCAGGTTGTTTTTTTTTTATGTAATATAGGTCAAAAATAGATTAAAGTAATTTAATGACAGGATATTATGGAAAATGGAAAGGATTTGCTGTTATAATTAATAATTAGTGCTGTATGAAGGTAACATTTCCACTCATTGCTCCACACACTATTGTTATGTAGGCCTTTGAAGATTGCTGTCCATAGCTGTCAACTTCCAGTTTTGAAAATAAGGGACAGAAGCCGAAAATAAGGGATCAGCAGCCAAAATAAGGGATTTTCCAAGCACAGGTATGTTCAACTTCTGAGCCCTCTGAGCAAAGGCAAAAAGCCAGCCAGCAGCCAAACGAAGCCTCAAGTGGTGGTTCCCACAGCGCAGCAACCCGGCAAAAGGGATGCAGCAAGGAAAACCACGTCACCTTTGCGCTGAGCAAAGGCGAGTCCCCAGGCAACGCGGCCGACTTGATCGGCACAAGCCATGCAAGCTCCACCCCCCAGTATTCTTAGACTCCTTATTGGGTGAGCAATGCAGCCAGGCAACACAGTTGGAGCCTCCCTCTCCCTGGCCGCAGGGAGGGAGAGAGGGAGAGGAGCTGCTTCCTTTGAAACCTGGGAAATTTAAGGGACATCATCAATAAGGGACAGCAGTGGGACATGGCGCTGGGATAGGGACTTTCCCGCCAATTAAGGGACGGTTGACAGCTATGTTGCTGTCACGGACTAGTTGGACACAGAGGAATGTTGGGAAGAACCAGTCAGGGAAGAAGGCTCAGAGCCCGGGGAGAGTGGTGGGACCATGATGAGTGGTTCAGAGGGAGAAGATTGGGAAGAGGCGTGTCGGAAGCTGAGGAGGAACAGGGATTAGTGAGCTGGGAGAGTCTGTGGCAGAGAGAAGCCCAGAATCAGAGGCAGAAAACTGAGGCAGAAGAGAGGAAGGCAGAGAGGCAGAGATGAGTCTGGCTGGGGAAGAGGCACAGGTGTCTCCCCATCCTGCTGCAACAAACTCCTCTCCCCACTGGTCTCCCAGACCCAGGAGAAGCATGAAAAGAGCGGAGGAGAGATTGGTGACTTGCAGGCGCAGTCTCCGATTGCTTCTTGGGGGGCAAGACCTACCGGAGGTGAGTTGCTATGCTCATTAGGCCTGACACTCCTGTTTTTGCTAATAAAGAGTTAACTCTAACTTGCCTGGTGTGATTTACTGCTGGCTTGATTATGACAGTAGCTTAGAAGGCAACCCTCTGGCTGCAAAAGGTTCCCCATTCGTCATGTAGAGGGTGGTGACTTACACAGGAATCAGAATTCTAGCCCCTGCCCCCAGTTATACACCTGCAGGAAAGCTCGCTGCTTCATCCTCTGCATTACAACAAATCGTACCTGAAGGCTGCAGCAGAAAAACGGTGAATCCTGAGGCGCTTAAGCTCTTGACGGAGACAGTGATTTCTGTGAGGGTCTCATCCACAGGGAAGAGAGCTGAGATCCATCCAAGTGCTTATGGACACTTTGACAGGGGCAGCATTCAGAGACAGCTCCATGATGCCCAAGACCCGGCCAAGTTCACCTTTGGTGGTCTTCACATAGAAGCCTCCGGAATATGCAGCTAGTTGTTCATAGATGTTAGCATAACTCTCCCGGAGAAGCCTCCTCGCAGCACCTGTGGAGAGGAAGGATGGAGTTTTGTCTTGAAACCTGGTCTCCTCCTTTCTCTGTTCACATCAGTGTGGGAATGTTCAGGGATGCAGGAGAGGATATATTGTTGATTATAGCTTTTCCAACTTGTGTAAACAAGTTCACAATTTACCAGAGTAACATTCCCCCTTTTAAACTCACAGTGGATGTGTTTGCTCAGGCTCACTAAAGCCTCTATAATAACTGTTTTGGTATTTCCCCTTATTCCCTCATAAAAGATAAGACATGACACAGTCTTCTGTAAAATGATAAAAAGAGTTTACTCACTCACATTCTGTTCACAATTGGATCCCAGAAGCAGACTTATCTTAGAAAAGTAACATATACCTGGAAACTATCTCATAAGGAGACAGTCCCTTTGTCCTCTCTTGGCTGGAGGTCAAGAGAGCATCTTTGGCTAAGCAGATGTTGCTTTTTCAATGCATGTAGTCAAAGAGAGAGAGATGGCTGCCCTGCCCTGTGCTTTTGTCGTTAACTGCACAGGTGAGGCCACCGCCACCTCTAGTCACATGCAGAGGAAGTCTGTCCCAGCCCAGAAGGAAACAGGAAGTTTACCTGCTGGCTGGACAAACATTCCTCCCATGTGTAAACATGTTCACTCTAGGAATTTTGTACTTGACTGTTCTTGTGTTTCACATCCCACAAGCAGGAAAGGCAAACCAAGCTTTTGGCAGCAGTTGCTTATAATAATTACACAATATAAGATGGGTCTGGTTCTGAATGATCTCTCAAAGGTCCTGCCCAATTTTGTGACACTGGTTGTAGAAAGAGGCCGCTAAGGAAAGTCAAACCAGCTGACCTCGACTGATTGTCATGGTTCCTATGTACTGCCCCCGTTGTTGGAGGCAATATGCGTCTGAATGCCAGCTGCTGGGAATCGCAATAGGTAATAAAGGAACTCTTGATTGTGTGCTTCCAATAGGCATCGGTTGGTCAGTGTGAGAGCAGGATGCTACCCTAGATGGGCCATATGCATGACCCAGCAGCACAGACAGCTCTTGTCTCCTCATGAGTCCAGCAGATTCTCCTTGGCTGCAAGGATGGGCTTTTGCACAACTGAAAAGATGGTCAGGTTCGGAGATCGGTTGTCACCGGAGCAAATAGTTGGGGATCCTTCTGGAAGAGGGCAGGCTTTCCCTTCCTTTGGCTCTGTACTTTTGCGTTATTTCTGTCTGTTTCGTTCTCTCGGAGCTGGAGAGAACGGACGCCATTACTCCTTTGTCTGTATATAGTGTGTAAATAAATAGTAGATTAGATCTACGATGTCTCACACTTCTTGCTGTTGTAACGCTAGAAGTATAGTGTGCATACATCATTTGATTTATGTCGCTGGAGCGCCCTGGAGAAGAAGGGAGATACCTTTTCCAGTTTGCGCACATCGGAGGACGCTCGGAGTTCTGGGGGCCTACAGGAACTCCCAGGGCGTTTTTCCAACACTAAAGTATAGATCAGAAGCTAGTTTGCAGGATTCTTGATAGGCTCCAATGCATTATCAAAATGTATACAGTGGTACCTCGGGTTATATACGCTTCAGGTTACAGACTCCGCTAACCCAGAAATAGTGTTTCAGGTTAAGAACTTTGCTTCAGGATGAGAACAGAAATCGTTGCTCCGGTGGCGCAGCAGCAGCAGGAGGCCCCATTAGCTAAAGTGGTGCTTCAAGTTAAGAAGAGTTTCAGGTTAAGAACGGACCTCTGGAACGAATTAAGTATTTAACCCGAGGTACCACTGTATTTGAGAGAAAATACATTCAGTAATTCTCTGTACAACTCTTGGAAAAGGATAGGTGCTTTTTAAAGTTTTTTAAAAAACAGCAGCAGCGCCAGATACTACTGCCCTCAGTGTGGGTGCTTCACATCCCAGAAAACTTACCTTCACAGGTTTTCCCTGGACCGGAAGCACATTACTCTTTCTGCTTCTGCATAATCTGGTAGGAAAAGTCAAGCAAACTCTTGCCTCCGATTTCCACCTCGTAGGAACCCCTGGGAGAGACAGTCATGGTCACATGCCCCGTTCAGGAATGGGGGGACACCTTCACAATCTTGTGGCTGGCTGTGTTGATCACTGTGTGAGTGGACGGTGAGACACCTGCCACAGGATGACACAAAGACAGACAAGGTTGCAGGAGATGGAGAGATGCCTGGCCCTCAGAGCTCTCCCCAGCCACGGGGGCCACCAGGGGGCGCATTGGAAGATGGCCGACAATAACATCTCTCCGACCCACACGAGGTAATTAAGAGGCTGTTATGGGAATATGCAGCTTCCCTTGCCCCCCCAAGGGAATGGGGGGGGGACTGCCTTGCCTGCTGTGCCCATAATTCACCCCCGATTCGAAAGAATGGGGTGAGGGCACTAGGCACAAAGCCCTTGGGTGGAGTCGGCTCTCCCGGGCGCTGTCTCTGAATCGCACACTGGTTTGCATCAGCTCGAAATAGATAATTGGAAATAGAAGGAAATGCACATACTTCAAGTGAAGATCGGGAGTAAAGACTGCTGATTAATGGGATCTCTGTGAGTGGAGCGACGGGCTGGACAATAAATCAAGTGAAGACTCATCATTAAAAGATCGGTATGTCGGAGCGAAACAGAAAGGGGAGGGAGGAAAAACTTTTCTTTTTTTGTCTTATGTGAGTACCCAATAATCCTCCCTCCCAGAGGAGGGAAATTACTAATCACAAGCAGGAGATTAAGAACTGTGTGGAAATAAATTACTGATCAAAGAAGAAGAAGAAGAAGAAGAGTTTGGATTTGATATCCCGCCTTTCACTCCCTTTAAGGAGTCTCAAAGCGGCTAACATTCTCCTTTCCCTTCCTCCCCCACAACAAACACTCTGTGAGGTGAGTGGGGCTGAGAGACTTCAAGGAAGCGTGACTGGCCCAAGGTCACCCAGCAGCTGCAAGTGGAGGAGTGGAGACGCGAACCCGGTTCCCCAGATTAGCAGACTACTGCTCTTAACCACTACACCAAAGAGAGGACTGGTGGGAACGTCTGATGGAAAGAAAGCTTTGTGACGCAGTTTCAAATGGAGATTTGTTAAGACAGGCCTGCTCACAGGAGGACGAGGGGGGGGAGGACCATGGTCATTGGAATGTCAATGTATGGTTATCGGAATGTGGATTTGACCTGGCAGGGCCCCCTGAGATACAGTTTCGCAGGCCTGTGGAAATCAACGGACAGGCTGTGGGAATGTTCTCTTTGGAGGTGTGGAAATGGCGTCTGTCCTTTATGTGATATGGCTCTTGGAGAGTGTAAAATCCACACAGGATATGTTTGTTTTCAACCCGCTTGTGAAGATTATCAGAGATCACAAAGAAAGGAATATATGATAACAACAAGAAGATGACGAAAATAACAAAGAGACTATCTGGACAGAACTGGACAGAACTGTGTAATTAAAGCAGCAACAAGAGTGATGTTTGGATCCCTTTCGGAGCTCAAAGTATGGGTACCCCCAATAAAATTTCAGAGCTCTCCCCAGCCACTCCCTTCTCTTCCGACAACAGCCCTCACTGCCCCTGCTTTGCACCTGCCTTGTTTGTGCCTGGCTGGAATTTGTCCTTGAACTGTGATGATGTCGCTTGCTGGTCTGGTTGGAAGATAGGGAGGCATGTATGATTGACTAGGCTGCTGTATGAAGGTAACATTTCCACTCATTGCTCCACACACTATTGTTATGTAGGCCTTTGAAGATTGCTGTCCATAGCTGTCAACTTACAGTTTTGAAAATAAGGGACCAGAAGCCCCGAAAATAAGGGATCAGCAGCCAAAATAAGGGATTTTTCCAAGCACAGGTATGTTCAACTTCTGAGCCCCTCTGAGCCAAAGGCAAAAAGCCCAGCCAGCAGCCAAACGAAGCCTCAAGTGGTGGTTCCCACAGCGCAGCAACCCGGCAAAAGGGATGCAGCAAGGAAAACCACCGTCACCTTTGCGCTGAGCAAAGGCGAGTCCCCAGGCAACGCGGCCGACTTGATCGGCACAAGGCATG